AAAATGATTTGTGGAAGCTTTACTAATTTGTCTCTTTCTCTTTGAGGATTCTGTTTTACTGATTAAAAACACAATACAAAAACTAACCTGTTCTGGTTTTTCTCCCCCCCCCCCCCAAACTACTAGTACTACTTGTTGACTAATGCTTTACTCTAGATTAATCTGAACTTGAAAGAGGCTCAGGCCCCTTGAAAAATCTGTACCGTTACTGACAGTATACTGGATTTTAGGCTGTTGATATAATAGAGCAATAATGAGACCAAATACAGAAGTCACTTTCTTATCCTGCTGGAAGATTTAAAGTAATTAATTACATACAGTAAGAAGTCAGGTTAATGAGTAACTATGAAGTGAATGTTTTGCAGGGTAGAACCCAGGCTTAGAGATGCTGTAAAAGGGAGAATACTTGAATTCCTACATTGGAGAGAGCTGTCAGGTTCTTTTGATTTTGCTAATAACAGCTGCCATCCTCAGAGGGTGGCAGACTTGCTGGGAGCTGCTTCGCATCATCTATATATGGAAAGGCTTGACTCAGCTAAGTTATCTTTATCTTTCTGGCAGATGTGGTAAGACCAAAGTGTACTGTCCTCTACCTGTGAGGGTTTTCTCCTAGATGCTAAAGCTGATTAGCACAGTATATGCTCCACTCTACTCTTCCTTTCTTCCTCCTTCCCCCAAATAGTTGTCATACAGTGTGTGACTGATGTGCTTTCAGTTCCTCTCCGCATCACTACCACAGGCCAGGTGTCAAGGTTACCACCAAAATTTTAATTACCAGAAATGTAAATGTTGACTGAAGTGCAATGGCAGCACTCTAATCTCAAATACAAATATTGTTACAGATGGGGCAATCTAGGTCTAAATGCATTTCTCCTCCTAGCTCTGGTTAGCTCCTGGTAAGAATTGCTATAGGCAACTGAGCTCTTATCAAACCAGAAAGTGAGTGGTAGTATCTAGCAGAGATCCTTATTACCCTCTGCTCCTCCCTTTTAGCATTGAGACTAAACAGTGCTATTGTGGGAAGGGTTTAAAGAGAAAGTTTAAGTATTAATCAAGAAATAGGATAAACTATGTGCCAATTGCATTGCTACTTATTTCCAATTCTGAAGATGCAGTATGGTCTATAGGAGGCTGAGTATTCTTCCTGGCACAATTCTATGGTGCTGGCAGGGAGGGTTTCAAAGTAGCTCTTGTACATCCAGGATTTCTTACAGATCATGTACAAATCAAGAGAATCTAGAAAAACACCTCTTTCTCCTTAGAGACAAAGTTGATATATTTAAAGATGATTTTTTTTTTTAAAAACAGTGTTAGTGCCTTAAACATGATGAAATATTTCCACTACCTAGTTACAGTTTGTATGAATTATTGCTTGTGAAAGTCAGCAGCTCATTTCCTTTTGAATAGCAAATTCAAAACAAGAACATAAGAAGCTGTGGCTTCCGCCTTCCTCAAAGCTGCGATAAAGGAGACATCCCACAACAGTTTGTGGCAACATGTAATGACTTGCTAAATATACACAACTCTGCAATGTTCATACCGGGCATATTAATTTAGGAGAACTTAACACTTAAACTAGCACTGAAGTTTAGAAGGGAACAGGGGAAGTTCATAACACTTACTTCCCAGTAGTAAAGACTGAGGTTTCATTATATTGACTGCCTCCAAAAAGGAACTCTCAACACTGGGTAAAGAAGCCTTAAACCATCCACCCCTCTGGGTTTATATGCTTTTTGTCCATTAGCACCAGGAAATGGTTCCAGAATTGAGGCAATTCCAACTAACTATAGGTCCAAAACACTTGTTTCAGGGGGAAGTTTAACTTCCTATAAATTGAAAAGAATGTACTGCCTATGAAAATAAACCAACAAACAACATCACGTACCTCCAAGGATCGGACCACAGGGACAGATGTTTGCTTTAAATATGCATGGTACTACCTTTTATTGCAAAAAACAGTAATAGAGATTTGTTAACTTAATATGATTCAGATTAGGATTTTGTTATGGAAAGGCCGTCCATTTGCAATGCTGCAGATACTGCTATTGAACTTGCCACTTTCATGTGCATCCAACAATTTTTGTAGTCTAACATCTAATAAATGCTTCCATTACCTTTACTGTAGTACAAACATGGCATTTCTTGAAAGATAGGTACAGCAGCATAGGCATGGTCAAGACATGCTTAATATTATTATGCTTATTATTTAAGCAGAGAAGAAGATTTGGAAGTAAGCCTGTTATATTTGCATTTTACAAAGCAGCAGGACTCAACAACTGCGCGTTTGTCATTCTGCCCACACACAGCTGAAGATTGTGTTGTTCCACGCTTCTGAAAAGTCACACTGCACAACCCTTCATGTGATAATAGGCATTTTTGCACCTTTTTTTTTTTTTTGAGACCGCATTTATTGTTAACAGCTTTACTGCAGCTCTTTACCAAGAAAGTCTGGAAGACATTTTTTATTAAAGAAACTGTTACTTCCACATACAGTAGCAAGGTGGGAAACAAGAGGCCTTTTATATAAGAAAGTTCTATCACACTTCCAGTTATTTTTAATAAAGGCATACACTATGCAGAGTACAAGACATAGTTGGGATACATACGAGTTAAGGCCATTCTCCCCCAGCCATCCCTCCACAACTCAAGTTTTTTTCCAGAAGTGTTTTTAAATGAAGCAAGCACTCAATGCTTGATAGCACTACAGCAAAGATGTATTTCAACTTCAGCATTTCCAAACGGGAAGAAACAAAGAAAAGGTTTGACATCTCAAAATATGCTTCACAGGTCAATAATGAAAGACAAAATCATGCTACCTTCTCAGCTTCCAAGCTTAACTTACAAGTAGTATACAGTGTACTCAAGTCCGCTTTCCAATGTACATCATAAAAAGTATCACATATACAGGAACCAAATCGCACCTCCTCCCCAACCAAAACGTAGTCTGAAAAAAAACTCACATCACATCAGAGAAAAAGTTGGTATTTTTCTCCAGTGACATTATATGTGCTTTCAATTTGATTAAGCATACACCCAACAACTTAAAACAGTGTTTAACACTGGCTAGGCAAATACCCTAACAAGGTAACTACTCAAGAGGTACCTGCAAATAGACCTAAGCAATAAAGGAAACATGTTTACACCTAAACTGAAATACCCAAATACTGAAAGATTCCCTTCAGTTTTCTATAAAGTTTCATTTTACCCTCCTCAAAGAAGGGCCTTACAGTGCAATACAGAACAACGACATCGAGAGTTCTCATGTTTGTGTTACCAATCTATTTTGAATATTATTGTTCCCACACCCTTTGTGAGGGAAAGCCTACTGCTCTTCCCTTCTTGCATGTTTGGGCAGGCAAACCTAAGGCCCAGGATGACTGAACAACACTGACCAACTTTGCCCCCTCCTTAAAATCAAGGGGCAGTTTGGCTGATGATAGAACTACACCTGTCACAATTAAAAAAGTGGGAGTTTAATGAACACCTCTGAGGTTACAATCCAGTTATTTTTACATCTGCCATAAGCCTTGCTATGAAATTACTGCAATAAGGAAAATTTCTATTAAAGCAGCAGGTTCCAAAGTGAGAAAGTGTGCAACTGAAGTAGCTACAGGCGAGGATTACAGCATCTCCAATTTTCAGTGTTATTCCCTTAACTAAGCCTGTAGATCTTTCTTTAAAACACACAGGAAGCTTGTACTACAATTGTTTCTAAGTTGCAAATAAGCAAAAGGTGGACTCAATGCATCAATTTGCTATCTGCCATCCACTTTTTGGAAGGTAGCTAGGGAAGTGATTAGTAACAATTTACAGGTTTAGGTTTTCTACTCACACTTCCCCATCCTCTCTAGGAACTACTGTGAACATCATTACTGCTTTCATCTTTCAACTTGAAAAGCCCCTGCAGCATTCAGTTTTACCTGGCATCAGCAAATGAAACTTAAGACATACCTAATCGTCAGTTCCACTAAGAATCAGCTTTTACAGTATCAGGCACACCTAACCCAGATATTTTCCTTCAGTGTTTTCTTAAGAAAATGGCAAGGTAGGAAAACAAGGCTGTATGCAGAACAGTAACAGCAGAATTGCAGAGATGAATCAGATTAAGTTACACAAGACTTCATACATATCCCCCAAATTAAGGGGCTGTCCTCCAACAGATCTGCTAGTTTCCTGCCTCCCTAAAGCTACTATTACAGCTAGACTTTCAGCATATACCTTAAGTTGGAGTCTTTCATTGCCTTCCCTCTCAAGCACTCATTGCACCTAGTTATGGTCTCTGGAAACTCCCACATCTGCCTGCAAAACAGCTTAATATTAAGCAAGTGTCCGTGCCATCACAGAGGAATCCAACAGATTACTTCTGACGCAGTGAGCACCAGACAGTTCGTAACATGGCACTGGAGAGTCATCACTGAGGCAGCGAGAAGCAAGCTCCCTTCTGAACTCACCTAGATACCATTCATTAAGTCTGGAATTAAGTTCAGCAAAATGAGTCTTGTACTTGCAGTTAGTCAGCTTATTGCAGCTCCTTGCTAGGTCTGCTAGCAACCCTCCCAATTGCAGTATTGGACTGTTAGTCACATTACTAGTTTGACAGAGCACATCCAAGGCCAAGATGTTCCCATCTTTGCCCTCTGCTGGGTGCTGTGGATAAAGCAATAAATTGCACTTAAGAGAAATACCTGACTGTTTGTGTGAATCTTGAAAGGTTCTTTCTCCTTCAGGCATTGTACTCTGAAGCAAAGTGCAGAGAAATACTAACTGACACAGGGAGGGGAAAAAAAATTCAGCTTTCGAACAAGTCTGACAACTAGACAACTTTTCTCACTTCATACCATGTTTTTCATACAAACCTGAGTCAGCAGCTTCTCAACTACTATTTAAGTGATCTTATCAATAAAACCACAAATAGCAAGAAGATTGATTGCCCCACACAAAAGAAACAGAGTAATATATAGTTTTGTTGACTCAGAATTAATAATTTTCCCTGACAGAGACTTTCCTCTGGAAGAACAAACTCCATCTTACACCTTTTTTCATATTAAAGTGTGCTTTTTCAGATTTAAGAGTATATATGGCTTAGGATTTATATGGCTGTTCCTTAAATTGTGTGCCTAATCCTACTCACCAAATTCTAAGGTCCACCCAGACATATCATATGAAACACAAGATAGCAAGCCAAACTTGTACTAGAGAAGTCTCACACTAGAGAAGAGTCTCCAGCAATGGGTCAGATGTTACACCCAGTGACAAGCACTCTTGAAACCAGCTTGTACATGTAAGTTCCTTAACTGATTCATCTGCCTTATTCTGAAAGAACCCTCTTACCTCGGAAATACAAGACTCCATTTGGATATACAGGTGTTGTGCTTGTATGTGTCTTTAAACTGCTAGCTACATGGAATTCCTAGAAAATTTAGTCCAGTGTACAGGAAACAATAGAAAAAGACCTACATTTACCAAAAGTCATACCTAAAATTGTGAAGACCTATATTTACCTAAAAAAAAAGAACTTAAAAAAAATCAAGTAGTTTAATGCTAATTACTAAAGGCAATACCACATAGATTCATATTTTGGGGTTACAGTTAACACAGTACTTTAAATAAATGTGTCTAACTCTAAATTTAGACACTTAGCACTGCATGACCTAGCTTAATAATAATGTTGTTTTCTGCAGGATTTAGTCCACCAAGCTATTGTAATGGTGATCCATGCAAAAGTTTCCTTGGGCAAGGAAGAAAAAAAAAAAAACCCCAAAGAAGTCTATTCACATTCAGTGACTTGTTAGAATGTAAGAGACTTTAAAAAAGCCTCTCAAAAAAAAGAAGAGGGGGTGGAAAATTAAATCACTACATAATAGTCTGTGAAGTGCACCTCAGTTGACGTTATTTCCCCCAAAGTAGCTCAGAATGAGGTATTCAAGGTCTATTGTCACTACACATCTACATACACAGCTTTCCGGGTTTACCTAGAATATTTTCAACCTCTGAAGGATTTAGCAGTGGTAGGGTGAAACAGAAACATGCTCTTTCTCTGCATACCTAGTACGTACATACACCATGGTACCAATGGATCAGCATCCATTTCCTTTTAGTCCACATATTTATGCTGATCCACCTCTTAATTTTTTTTGTATAACCTTATTTTAAGCATCAAATAGGAAATAGTACCAAACATTATTAATCTTGCAACAGTGGCTGGGCTGCTTCAGTACGTTGCATTTGCATGGTATTTGCTTGGGTGAGGATAAAATGCTTAACAAAAACTGCAATAAAAACCATAACAAGAAAGCTGCCCAGAAAGACTCCTACAACAGTAGCATAGGTGTCTGCTCCAAAGGCTACAGGAACTTCTTCAGCAAGTATATCTTTCACAGCGTTGAATGAACCATTGTTTGGCAGTGGGTTAATACCAAGCAGATGGCACAGCAAGGGGTACAAGTCTGTAGCATTCATGACTTCTTTGGTGGCATTCTTTCTGAAAGCAGGCCCAACTGCCAAAAAAATTGGATGCATTTCTGGTAAGGTGTTGTCATATCCATGATTACCAACTGGAAATAAAAGATAGATAAAGGTCAATATTCTGAAGTTGCAAAACAAGCAATGAACCTTTTCCTAGAATTAGCATAACACAGAAAAGGAACAGCCATCATTTATTCTTGCAGAGGTTTAGAAGAATCATTTTGATCAACAGCACAAATGTTTCCTAGAAAATACCAAGTCTCAGAACTACAAAGAGAAGATGCCTTAAAAAAAAAAATGGAGAGCACTATTTAAAAAAAAAAAAGTAAGCTCACATGGTAGTAACAGCACTGTCAATGGCATGCTATGCTACACTGAAGTTTCCTTGATTTTCCTCAAGTCAAAACTCCAACTTTGCAACTGGACCAGATCTCTTAAAAAAAAAATCCACGTAGAGATAGACTGTTTCACACCTAAGTAGCAGACAGAACTTAAGCTCTGACTGCTTTGACACTTTGTCCAATTTGGTGCACTATTTACTCATCAATAAGGAAGAAGTTTACAGATCTCACTAGTGGGTCTCCAGTGACCCTTCCTTACAGGGACACTAAAAACTCTGAACAAGGAAATAAACATGCAGGCACAAAAAGATGCTCTCATCATCTATCAACAACTGAGAAACTTGTTAAGTCTTGCAGGTATTGCTGTTCAGCTTCATAACCAGCAGCAAAGTTGAAAAGGTTTTCAGTTAAGAAACTTAAGAACTGACCATGTGACACCTATATCTTTTCTCCTAGCTAACCAAAAGTTACAGTTTACTGTTTCCATTCTATCTATAATAAATCTCAAAACCCCAAGGTGAGGAACTTAAAAGTGGGTTTTTTTTTCCTCCAAATCACCTAGAACGCATATTATCCTACAAGGCAAACAAAAATCACTGGTGTAGAGTAACACAATATTCAAAGACTCTTTCTAGCAATAAAACAAGGTTACCACAAGTGAAGGCATACACAGAAGTTGAGGACTTTCCAGAAAGCATGCTTTTATTTCCAACCCAACCCTTCTCCAGTAAATAAATAGTATATGATAAAGCAATGCTATTCATCCTCTATGCAAGAAGTTCAGTTACAACTTGTTTTTTTTTAATCTCTCAGGAAGTGGTTGTCAGTTTGCTAGATCTTGCAAGACTCCCTCAAGCATGTGACCACTAACACATGTAAATGATCTTACCTTGGTAAGTTTAAGTTTTAGAAACTGTAAGTCCAGTCCCCCTCCCCTAACAGTAGGGTGCTTCCCATCCCATCAGGAGAAAGAAATTATACATTCTACACACTTAGCTTCAGAGTTTTCCCTCCTAGTCTTAAAAAACAGGGGAAAAAAAAAACCCCAAACAAAAAACTAACATTGGTTGAGATTGGAAGAGAAACTATCATGTAAGATCTCTGACTAGGAAGATATAGCAAAACACTGTAAATACAGAATACTTACATTGAAAACCATCAGACTTATTATATACAATTTCCCATCCTTTATCAGCTACTGCTAAGATTGGCTGAATTTTACTGTTGTGTTTGTAATGTAATCTATCCGGAATCTGTTCCTTTTTATATACAGTCATGTTGGGATGAGCACTGGCCAAAGCTTCATATACTTCATCCAGTTTGCCTTCAAACAAACAAAAGAAACAAAAGACAAAACTTAAACATACCAATATGTTTACTGAACTCACCAGTAGTTTAAATACAACTGAAAGAAGAGGGCAAAATGCACTTCCCCAAAAGCTAATTATAGCTGTAAGAAAAAACAGTGGATTACAATGCACACAGAATTTCCTGTGAGAAATCCAGAGCGTCATTCACAGTAAGATCACACCTGGCATCAGACTTCACAGCCTGTTCCTAAGCAGTAAGTGCCTTGCTAATTTTAGAAAAATCCCTCACTTCGTAGTTATCAGAATGTAAGCTTCTCACAAGAATGAGTTAGAAGGCATTCAGCTAAGTCTCACAGAAAAGAAACCAGCTCCTCCTAGCTCCATGCAAAGCTTGAAAGCAAGAAGATGGCTCCTGAACCTGTTTATGAGGTAATACGCGTATTAAGGCCATATTCTGTCTCTCTCCCAGTTGGCTATGATGACAAGTGACACTTTTTATTTATTTTAAGTAGTTTAACTGTTAGTTGCTTTCCTTAAAAGGCCAAAGAGAGCAGCCACTTTGTTTCTTGGCATCTCTGAAAACTTACTTCTGAGTGAACCCAATTGTTTATTTCTCCTTCTGCAAGATGCTCCAATAAACAGCTACATATTTGACCTCATTTGATTCCCAGTTTTGATCTTCTACCATTTTGATGACAAGTTTAGCCAATTTAGAAAGAGTAGCCAGTTTGTTGCTATGCTCCATGTAACATCATAGTATTAGCAATTAATTACCTAGGGAAAAGCAAAACTAGCTTGCATTAATCTTTCAGCAGAAGCCCTCAGTCTCAGTCCAGATGCCGCTAACACGTCAGGAGCTGTACAAAGATTGCAGAGTCCTAAGCAGGGAACACAGGACAAGCATACAAAGGGACAGGTTGGACCGGCATATAAAGATGGCACTTTTGGTTTGGAACTGTCAGCCACTCTGTATATTCAATAATGGCTAACAGCACTACCTACTCCTTTGTATTCTTACTGTCTATTCCTTTCCCTTCCTAGTCATCTGCTGTGTAACAAGCGTAAATCCTTAAAAGCTGTACTATCACTACCAAATAAATAGGCATTTTCTACCTGCAATTCTTTATTTGCTTTTTTTCAGTTTCTGAGCTTTTCTTTCCAGTAAAAAAATCACTGAACAGCCAGAAAGCAGTTGGACAGGCTAGAACACCAGCACACAGAAAGGAGGAACCAGGACACACAGACAGGAACACAAAAGCAAGTTCAGGAACCTACATCTGAGCAAGGTTCTTCAGTGTCATTCCCCAGCCCCCATTTAAGCACAGATTCCTACTGAGGGCTATGCAGTGTATATAACAGACTTCTGTTATATACCAAATAACTCAGCCCCATGACTTAAGTACTTTGTGCTACACGCATGTGCGATTCACTTGGACAGCCGAGTTCACAGTTAGTCTCTGCAGGCCAGTTTCAGCGCTACAAGGTCTGAAGCACAGCTGCAAGAAGTTTACATTTTCTTTGTGGCCAACACTGCTGGTTTTAGTAGATGAGTGGGATTTAAGCACATCCTGTCATTTTGACTTATTTCTTGCTAGCTCTGCCTTCACAGCTAGCTGTACGTCCTGCATCAGGCATTCCTGCGTGTGAGCTCTTCTCTGACTGTCCTAAAAAACAATTGCCTTGATGACCACAAGAACAAGTGCTTAGTTTGACCTGAGACACTGTCTGAAGTAAACGAAAGATAAACTCCTGTCTACCATTTACAGCATGCATGAAGTTTTGAATACATCTCAGGAAAAAAATGTTTGCGAGGTGCCCGATGTCTTTAAAGAAACCATCTTCAGTTTCCCTCAGTTCCTAGGATCTGGTATAGAAATAGAATGATGCATAATGTTTCTTATCTCAAATTGGCATTAAAAAAAAAAAAAAAAAGACTTAAAAGGTTCACTAAACTTAAGAAACACAATAAAGGTCAAAATGAGACAGCAAAAATCCATATATTAGAGAGACAGTTGCAGAAACAAGAAAAGGGAGTCCAATTAGCATTTCTAGGACTACATTAGTAACAAAATTAATTTTGTTATGCCACTTTTCTATATGGGGTAACAGGGAGGAGAAGCCCCAAATACAGCAAACCATGATTTTGAACTAAATTAATTATTTGAATTAACATATTTATACTGAATGGAAGAAAGGCCAGCATTACCAGCTGTGGTACAGGTGCCATCTTCATGAACATACAATCAGTTCCACACACACCAATACACTAGCATAGTTAAATAATGGCTTTAATCCATCTCTTGGGGATGAAACATGTAGCCAAACAGTTTAAGCAGCAGAAGTTGCTGCATATTTAAGCAATTAAATTTTTTCTCAATGTCTCACTAAGTTTTACCATTCCCTTGGTTTAAGCAAGATGAATGGACTAACTGTTGAAGAATCAGTCTTATGTACTTAAGTGTATGTTATTTCATAGCTAAACTGAGACTGAAGCTCACTGGTTTATAATAAAAATTACAGCTGGTAACAGGGAAGGAAGGAATTTGAGCTGTGCTCAAAACTGCTTCTTGTTTATTGGTAGTGTAATAAATATCTGAACCTCTGGCAAAACCAAATCCAAGCTATTCCTGAAATCCATTGAAATGGCTTTTTTACTATTCTGTTATCTAATTGCTGCAGAGATACTATTTCTTTTCAGCATTTAGCAGACAGGAGAATCAGGTTACACATCTTCAAGTTCTCATTTACTGCATTAGGGATGTAAAAGTAAACATTAGTGCTGAAACAACTCCTTTATTTGGTAATGAGAGCATCCTGGACAACCGTGTTTGTCTCCATTAGGATGGAGCTCCCGAAGTCAGCTCTTCTATCACCACTGAGAGAAACAGTGCCCAGCTACAAGCACCTGAGTGTGCTCAGGCAGCAAATGATCTCAGTTTGGACATACTAACATTTTAGTCTGGAATATTCTTCAAACTAAAAATGACAAGAGACATTTGTTTACATATTTAAAGGTCACTTACATCTGCAAAATACCCTACCTGCTGGGGCATCAAATAGAGTGCTATCCATTAGTGATATTGGATAATATTCAAAAGAAATATTACAGAAATCTTAAAACACACCTTTTCAGAAGGCCACCTTAAAACTCAACTTCCAAATTAGCACCCCTGCCCACACAAAAAATTGCTGTTTTCCAGGTTAACACATTCACACCAAATACTTATAGCTTTTGATCATCAAAATAAAGAGCGGCACCTGTACACGAGTGACACTAAACACACACCTGACACTCAAGCAACCCTTCAATGACTGCAACCAGACTTCAGATTTCAATTCCAACAGGATTCTTGCCCAGCATTATCACATATGATATGAACTTAACATATGCTATGAACATAACTGGCTGGCTGTTCAGCGTGATGGGGGAAAAAACACTGAAGTGAACTACAATAGTTGGCAGCTAATCAAATAGCCAACACAGGCTTTCTTTTTATCAAAGGTCTGCATCTGGTTTCAGTTTACTGTTTGAGTTGGAAATCTAATTCTTCCACTATGGCTTTAGCATCTTGATGAAAGGCAAGATATGTTAACACTCAGTTGTTATCCATCTAGAACGCCATTCATCCTTGATAATGCCATTAGATTACTTTACTTCTCATAAGGACTAAAGGACAGTTGGCAGTACTAGTCAGTAATAGATTTGCTCACTTTTCATTTCAGAAAGTTAATTCGGGCTTTTGACAGAGCTAGCAAAAAGAACAAAGACGTGATCCTGCAAGGACTCCTTGTTCAAGGCTGATGTCCTACTGGCATCAGTGCTGCTACCACCACTTCAGTTAAGGAACAAGTCTATAAAGTTTTGATACTCAAGTATTTTCTTCAGAGAATTTTACTGCTATAGCTCCTACCTTCTTTTGGCAAAATAGCTACTGCAGGAGAATGGTCAATGACTTCATAGAGCTCTCTATTCACGTACTGATCAAGCTCAATGATCCTTTCTGAGGAGGACTGTGACATTCCATGATCACTTGTGATTATGACATTTATCACATCCCACAGCTTTGCTTTCTTCAGTTCAGACATAAGATATCCCAGCTTTTTGTCAATATCGCTAATTATCGGACCCATAAGTGGGTTTTCTGGGCCCAGAATATGGCCCATCTCATCAGGCTGTTCCCAATACAGGAGACCAAAGTTTATGGGTTCTTCTGATGTAAACCAGTCAATAAGCCTAGCAACTCTATCTTCAAAGGAAACAGATTCATTGTAGGGCATATAATATGTAGGAAAGACTCCATGTATTTTCACATCTGTTCCAGGCCACATAGCTGCACCGGTTTTATGTCCTTCTTTCTGGTTCGTCACCCATATTGGGCTGGCTTCTTCCCAGAACTTGGAGTTATGGATATCCATTTTGTTCAGAGAAAAAGTTTCATTCAGAATAGGATCATACATCTCATTAGCAACTATACCATGGCTTTCTGCATAGAGACCAGTCACCATTGTATAATGATTAGGATACGTTTTTGTTATAAACACATTAGTGACCTGTTTGACATGAACACCATTCTCCATGGCATAATGAAAATTGGGAGTTGAGACTTTATAGATGTAATCCCATCGAAATCCATCAAAAGATACTAGCAATGCTCTGGGCTGGAAAGACAATGCACTTGGAAGAAACAGTAAGAAAATTGCCAGGATCTTCCAATAACAGTTCATGGCTATTCTGAAAGGTATCCGTCCCCTCTTCTGAGGCAGCATGGCATCTGTTGAGCAGAGACAGAAGATTTGTTTGCATTAGCTTGTCAAAGTCATAACTCAGTTTTAAGAATGAGTAGCTAAAATATTCCCTATGTATTTATACAGCTTGCTTTATGAACACTGAGCATTCCAAACATAGGAACGGGACCTTTTACCTATCAGTTATATTGATATCCCAATTTCAAAGATGGGAAGTGAGACACTACGATTTGTTGAAGGAAACACAGTTCACAATGCAACTTCTTTAACCGACACCACTGCCCAACCTCTTCCTTTTTTTCTTCCAGCTCCCAATACACAGGAACTCCTGCTCTTGCAATTTGACAAGTTTTCAAGTATTTGCTGTACTCAATGTTGTAAGAAACTGCCCTATGAGAAAGCTGGTGCTTGTTAAGAGTTAAGAACAGGGGCAGTTCTCACCTTCAGAATAACAAGGTTCATCTCTACCAGAACTTTATAACCCTCATTAAAATCTCTGGAGCATTACTTCTCTTCTGTGCAAGTGTGGCACAGACACACTAGCATCACATGGCAGACCAGCAGATGGGAGCAGGAAGTACACACTGGAACTGGAGGACTCTGTGCCGGCACAGCTCCCATCGGGGAGGGGGAGGGCAGCTAGAAACCATTACAGCTTCTCAGCCCCGACACTCAGTACAGTGCTACTAAACGTGCCGAGTACAATTTCTAGTGGAGAAACTAGCAAATAAGAGTTGAATTTCAGATACAGCAGTATATCCATTAAAAGGTTTTGCTGCCTAAAAGGGGTCAGATCAAGACTTAAGACAAACAAAGAGCAGGAACATCAGTTTCCCAACATTTTGTCACATCTCTAACCTGATCATAGCTTCCCTACATAACTAAGCTCTTCTTGATCAGCTAATTCTGACACTCACTACCAAAGGTCACTTCTAGTGACAGCTTTACAGACAAGAACATATACAAGTCATACAAGTCAGTGCGCAGTTTAAGTTCTAACTGAACACTTATGTCTCTGAATGGATTGGAAAGAGGTGGTTGAAAGATTCACTGGTACAGTTGTGAGCCACTGGAAATACTGTATCTTTCAAGCAAGCATCATCTGTCCTTTCCAGTCAAATACCGCTGCAACCAGAGTGCAAGCAGCTTGAAGTACGCAAGACCCAAGAACTATAATGCAAATCCCGTCCATGAACTGCATGAGATGGTGACCACCACACACTGTACCCTAAAGCATTTGCTCCCTACATAAACATTCAGCACTAATTCCGATTATATGACTCAAGGATGTTGACTATTCCTAGCTATGACTGGCACTCCTTATCTAATTGCATGACATAATATGACACACAATTTCATATGGTATTGGGTTGTACTCCCCTGCCTCAGTTTCCCTCTCGCCTTCACAAACACTTTCTTGTTCAAAACTCAGTTATCTAACTCAAAGTAAGATCCCTATAAGAACCCTCACACATGACTTCCCTATCTGTAACTGACCTAAAATTTCATGCTAATACTCCCCACTTCTTGCTCAACAGCATCATTTAACCACAAGACCAGATACTGTTCAATCCAAACCTGCATGTGGACTGAAATGATACCCCACACAGTTCCCTTTAGGTTCCCGTTTTTCAGCAATCTTCTGGAACAAGTCACTACTGAAATTCAGCAGGAAAACAGTGGTCGTGTAACCAATAAATCCATATGAATATCTGGAGTACTTTAAATATCCTAGTTAATATAAAACATTATAGCTTAACAAGCACCTGAATACCACTGCAATGAAGGAATAGGATTTGTCATTTTGGTAGAACCCAAGATATCTTCTATGGGAAATTTTCATATTCTAATTCCCCAGCTAATTCTCTCATTTACACTGGAAAACAGCACAGGCACTGTCGACTTGCAGGTAGTCGAATGTCACACCAAACTTGCGTGTCTCCCAAAATTAAAATCCACGCCTAAAGTCCTGCTAAGAATAAACTGACACTTAGAGGCATAACTCCCCTTTCAGCCAACACCACAGACCCAAAGGCCACGGAGTCACTCAGTTTCACCCGATGTGGGATTTCTTTCAGCTGAATATGAAGGGAGAAAGGGAGAACATGCTGTTGTGTCCATCTGAACCCCATCCGCCAAACTAAGCGCAGCCCATGGCTGAGTCGCAAATTCCCCCTTCTGGGGAGCAACAAGTATGAATTTAAGTCCTCTCAAGTGAAATTAGGTCCTTACTTCTGAACTTTACACAGTTAATGATGTCAACATCACCCAATCCTTTAATTGCATATTTTTAATAAATAACGGTGTGGGTTTTTTTTCCCCAAGGCCTTCTTATACCAGTCTTCACTGGAGACAACCTGAGCACCCCTACTGATCCGGCTCTCTCCAGAAACCCAGCACCACAACGCACGGCTCTGGGCCCTGACGGGGCTCTGGTGGGACGAAGGCATCTGGGCTGCCCAGGGCAGCGAGCTGCCACACAAACAGACAAAGTGCCCAGGGACCTGTTCAGCAGCCGGAGGAGCCCAGCACACAGAGGAACGCCAAGGGCAGCCCGGCATTCCCCCACACAGCGGCCCGACGCCTCCGTGGAAGGCTCACTTCACCCTGACAGGCCAGCCACCCGAAGCCAAACCGGGACTCACGAAACCCACCCTCCCTCAGGCGAGAGACCACCGCGACGCCCACGGCGGGCCCCACCGC